TGTATAGTTTAGAAACAGCATATAGATAGATAGATAGATAGATAGATAGATAGATAGATACTTTATGTTTCTACAGTAACCCAGATTGGGCAAACAAAACACTGGCAGCAGATGGGGGTAATCAAGTTTTTCTTTAAATTCTACACAACGGACCCTTTTAAAGTTAAAGTTTCTATATTTACAAGTACAGATATTGACTACGATACTCATTCTTGTTAAAATAACATTATCTGTATCGGATACTTGTTTCAGCCAATTTCTCGCTCAATACTAGTTAGCATGCTGAAGGTAGCATTTAGCTCAAAGTACCATTAGCCACAAAGCTACTAGCATGACTGTATCCTCTTAGTCTGGTTAAACTATTAAAAACACCAAAGAGAAGGTGGATGTCAAACTGACGTCTATTTGAACTCTCTTCCTGCTTCGTTTCATAAACTTATGCCTAAGACTATTGTATTGTTTGGTGTAATTTAATGAAAACTGTGGTCTCTGCGGGACACTAGCATCCCTGTTAGCCTTTGATTGTGGATGTAGGTGAGTTTTAAACGTAGCTGCGTCGTTGTCGTGCTCTGACAGCAGCTGGCAGCTCCTCTCTCCCTCCTCCTCCTCCTCCTCCTCCTCCTCCTTGAGTTTTGGCTCTGAATCAGACGTTTTAAACGTCTGGATTAGTTTTAATTGCAGCTCCTATAGCGAGCTTAACGCCTCCCTCTGCAACCCTCATTCATATTCAACAAACTACCTTCATCTTTACAAGTCATTTAATTTTCCACCCAGGCTTCAAATCACATTTATTATGTTTTTTTCCTCCCCCTTCAGGTAGGATACAGAAACCTGCCAGGGAAGTTAGGAAACTCCTCATGTTTTCAATGAAAATCTATTCATCAGTCAAATTCCATTAAAAAAACTAAGTAACACAAAGATTTCAGTCAGTGTGCTGTCTTATTGAAATATGTGCTCTGTTTCACTATTTACATTCAAATTTGATGGATACCAACCTGTGTGAATCTGCTATTTACATAAATCAACAATACAATTAAATCTCTCAGTAATTACATTAACTACGAGGCATTATGAGCATATCTCTGACTCATGCACAAACACGGTCATCTCTCAGTCTGTAGTTTTCCCTCTGACAGATTGGAAGAGACTAACAAGGTTTCCCGTGCAGACTCGGCATCAGAGGCATCATCCTACCACTCTGACAGCTGATTGGCTGCAGTCCAGGCTCCGTTTTACCCAGCAGCTCCTTTCATGTTTCTGTTTGAGACACAGTCGCAGCAGGTGACAGAGAGGCTGCCAGATCTGATTTCTGCTTTCAAGTATTAATTGTTAAGATGGATCCGTCAATCACTTGCCAGCGAGTCAGTGAATGTTGGTTAAACAGTCTGGTAATCTGTCCAGCTCTTTGGTCCTGAGGGTCAGATTTTATTCATGTGCCAAGAAGAGTCTATGTCACTGTAGTGTGTCTCAGGTAGCAGGGAAGTGCTGTTGAGGCTCATGTAAGATCATTTTCTCATTCTAAAACTACCCTTCTGTTTGCCTGTACTGTAATGCAGAATCTGTCGGCAAGGGACTAACATTTTGGCATCGGAAGCATTCTGGTTTGTAGTCTGAGTAGTATTAACCAATCACCTTGACCCTTGCACGGTCATTGGTTGTCTGCAGGTAAACAGTCTCTGTTGAGGGCAAACTCTCTGAGCTGCACAAACCTGTTATAAATTTCTGTGCTTGTGAGATTTAATAATTAGCATAGTGGAAATACCAAGATTGCTACATAAGTCTACCTTTTCTGCTCCATTTGTAGGCAAGTTGCTATCTTCGGAGGAAAATAAGGGATCACACTGGATCAGCATTTATGCAGCTCTGCTGTCCTTCGACCTAAAGTACTTTGGATGATATCTGTGTTTTCTAAAGTGTGTGTCCATCCACCTATTTTTATGCACAATTTGATTTGCGCATCACAAAACCTGAGTGTATACACTGGAAATTCGCAAAAAGTTGAAATGTTAATATTTTTATGCTTGGCCGAGGTTGTCGAAGTTGGTGTTTTGAAAGAAATGAAAATGCGACAAAGTTCAATGGAAACAGATTTAGTGAATAAATCATACCATAAACATGTCTGAAGAGACTAAAAATGGAGGCAGATGAAAACAGAGGAGACACCTACATGATTTTCCACAGTTTGAACTTTGACTGGTGCTCTTTTAATCACGTCACCGCAATGTGCACTCCTGATATTCCCACAGCAGTAGTGGATGGAAACACACAATAATGAGCATTTTCTGTTGTAGATTTTCTGGTAATTTGATTAAATTTTGTTCTACATTTGGCTGGAAACATGCCTTCCCCACGCTACATCACACTGCCTCCCTGAGCTCTCACCAAGGTCTCTGTGTCTTTGTAGTCTTGACACAACGAATTTGCCCAAACACTGTTGTAATACAGAGTAACAAACTGTTGTGTGAAGAAGATAAAAATGGGAGCTTGCAAGAAGGAGTTTGACGCAGCCCCCACAATTCAAATGTCGCATCAGTGTAAGTTGACCCACATCAGCTGGATGGGCACATCCTGGCCACTGAACCGTGGCAATTTATTCCGTTTGTAAGATATGTCCGTAGACATCAAAAGCTTCACAATGTGGTCGATGGGTGCACATTAATCATAGAAAAATAATTGGTAGTGTCAGTCCTGAAATCCACTGCCACATACTGATATGGAGATTAACCTCTGATGATGTTCGTTTTGTCCGTATCTCCCACCGTTACCTTTTCTCTGATGCTTAGCTGTATGATGTGAAGCGGCAGGAGATCAATAACCAGCCTAATCTATCAAAAACATCCCATTAATGACAGAAGGAAAAGAAAAAGAAGCATGAGTGTTCCAGCTATTACTTTCTCTGTCCTCATTCTCAGATACATGTAATCCCTGCATATACTTTATCTGCACATTACTGTAAATGGAATACTTAGACTTTAATGATTTATTTAACAGCGCAGATCTCACACATATACACACACACAGACTGTAGGTTCAGTATGGTTAATTACAGCAGACATTAATGACTCTGTAACATTCTGTATGTAGTGCATTATAGTCAGAAGATAGAATAGGTTTTAGTGTCTAAGTGGAAACAATTACATCCACTGATGTCTTTTCAGTGAGAATGAGACTCATCTTGACAAACAGCAATTAAGGTTATTATAGTTCGCTAAAACTAAAGTAAAAACTGTGGAAACATCTTAGATAAGTGACTTTAGAAAAAAACAAACTGAAACTATATTGTGAAACTAAGTCAAATAAAATAAAAAACATGCTGCAAATGTCTTTAGTTTTTGTTAATTTGGTCAAATTTGACAACACAGCAAGCATGAAGAGGCATTGTTTATGTTTATTCGGACTGGGATGTCTACATGACTGCTAGCATTGCTTGCGATGGCTCTCAGGGCACTTTGGCCAGAGTACCCCCTCTGACAATAATGAGTCAGAAGATCACTGAGGTCCTGAGCCTTACCAGAGTGAGCCTCTGGCTGGGTCTGTGCCTTCTGGACCCGAGGCTGTGGCACCAGCTGCATACTGGAGTCCATGGGGGTCCACAAAAGGACAGGAGATGTCAGGGAAAGGTACAAAAATAATGTTAATAGTGGTGTCAGAAAATGTGGATAAACTAAAGAGTATGGTGATATTCTGTTTTGTGATACTGCATTGATTCTTTAAACCCCCAACTGCTAGTTAGCGGTGTTGTAAATGTTGGATGTTACGGGGACTGTGGTAAATACAAATGCTGATCTTACTGTTCTGGTTGCATAGAAAAGTAAGTAAAAGTAAAACACTGACATTACAGTACATCCTAACAATAGACTTCCTTACACTCCTGCAGTATATTGAATGGTATCCCCTGTATTCTGAGATGTATGGTATAACCAGATTCTAGCCAATACACAGCCCTGTTAGCTAACGTTGGTTCTCTTCAGCTTAAGTGAGAATTGTAAGTCATTTATGGCCGTTTTCAGTTCAACTTCCTTTATCTATTTCTCTATGAGCTACCCTGACAACTGTATTATTATGCTCTTCTATATTCTCTCTTTCTTTTGTCACCACAGTTGGGGCATCAACAAAAAAAAAAACTCAGAGTCTCGGCTGTTTTGTCACAGTTCAGGAGGGGGTCATAGATATCCGCTTAACTGACCTTTCAACTCTAAAAGCTAGTTTTCAGCAAAAGAGGCGTTTTTGCACGCAATTTGTAGTTAAGAGAGAAATCAGAGGGGACTACAGATGGGCTGAAATAAAGACCTGTGTGTGTGTGTGTGCTGAAAGGGCTTGCCCTCATCTCCATGACAATCAACACTCATCGCCCCATCTGTCCGACACACACACACACTTAGTGACTTCATACCGTGCTGTTAGTCACACACAGTCAGGGGTCGTGGCAGATGTAGTGGGGTAGTAGGAGAGGAGGTCATTGTTGGCTTTTTGACTCACACACACACACGCAGCAGATGGGCCCTTTTTAAAACAAAGGCTGCTGCTGCTGCTGCACTGACTAATAAACTGACTGCTGCAGTGTTGCAGTGAGTTTATTTCCACACATCTTAATGCAGATGCTTGAATGGAAATGAAATGTTGCTAAACATGCCTGCTTGACTTTTCATTTAGTTGAATCATTTGAATTTAGAATTAGGGGTTGGTCCTCTCTGTCAGTCAGAAGAAAGCTGCTTTATTTACATTAGAACTCACTAATAGATGTCAGGATTTTTCCCTCTTTGGAGACTAAGAAACAGAACTTATTAGGACTATTAGGATATTTAGTCCCACTGGGATTGAATGAATTGCAGCATTTGATTTGAAATATATACATGTATACTTTGTCAAACACTGCAACAAATACATACATATTTTTTTTTTAAATATTGAGGATAACACTAAAAAGTTAGAAAAATAACTATCTATCTCCCTACAGTATTTCGATGTGATTGAAGTTTGATGCCTTCCCTGTGGTTTATCATTTTATCATTTTCATTTACTGCAACTAATGATCATTTATAGACTACAGAAAAGAAAGAAAATTGTGAAAATGCCCATTTCAGTTTGGATCCCAGATGATCTCTCCAAATGGCTTCTTTTCACCAAAGATACTAAAGGCTTGAAAATGATGAAAATGATTAGAGTTTTTATTTATTCATACAATAAAAAACAACAGCAGAATCACAAATAAGAGAAAAGAAGCAAATTGTCCAATTGAGATTTAAAATCCCCGAGAAGATCTCACCTCAGTAAGCATTAATTCAATAAGCACAGACAAAAAACATGTTATCCACAAAAGTGCGCAGACAAATTCTAGAAGCAAACTTAAAGGACAATTCCGGCG